AATGACGCGATTAACTGCGTGATACTGCGTGATACTGCGTGACACCGCGTGACACCGCGTGATACCGAGACACGCCCACCGGGGTATGCCGCGAAATACCCCACCTATTTTGAATGGCTGCATCTGTAGCTCTGTTGACATTAACAATGTCCAGGAAAGTGTTGTAATAACCAAGTCCAAGTTCAAATGTAAGCACTGGCCTCTTTGCCTGTAAACGCAGGACAAGAGGACAAGACTTTTCAGTCAGGCTCAACAGCAAATAAAAATCAAAGTAAATAAAATGTGAATGAGCAAAAAAAAGGTAATTTGCAGAAAGACAATTGCTGAGCCTCAGATATTTTAAGTAACATTGACATCACACACCAAGATTGGCGTAAAAACAATAAGGAACATAAAATGTTTCAAATATTGAGTCCATGAAAAAAATGGTTCCAACTACACAAGCGCCCACACAAAAGTAAAAAAAACAACCTAAAAAAATACTGTATCCAGTACACAATATATTGTGCTGGAAATCTGCAACTGCATTGTAATGCATGAAATGCAACAGTTTACACATCAGTGAAGCCAATTTATTCTAAGATCAAATTAAACTGCTTTGATTACAACAACATTTACACATCCACAAGGCCACTGTATTTTAGAATGATGCCTGTGAGATATTTAAAACACCTACCAACGTCCCCTAAAACAAAACACACAGAAACTTAACTTCCAGAAAGACACAAGTATAACAGCCCTCCCTCTCGTCAATGAACGAATGGGAATCTTTTTGCTACAGTAGTTCAAGTAGGTAGCTGAGTCAGCATGTGAAGGCTGCAAAGGAACAAGTAAAAGTTTATTCCATGCTGAAAAGAGAAGAAAAGGAACAACATTTTGGTTGTGGAGCCTTCTTCGGGTGTGAGGGAAGAACTCGCTGCATCACCTGCAAATACTTATCTAACACATACCTTCTTGCACTGTGCTGTACTGTGTTTTACCCTGATATCACAGGGCTTTGCTGTGCTGTATTGTGTTTTTACCCTGATATCACTGGGCTCTACTACGCTGTACTGTGTTTACACCCTAATATCACAAGGGTTTGCTGCGCTGTACTGTGTTTTTACCCTGATCTCACAAGGCTTTGCGGCGCTTTACTGTGTTTTTACTGATCTCATTGGGTATTTAGTGTACTGTGTTTTTACTCTCATTCCACTGGAGGTTACCGTGCTGTACTGTGTTTTTACTGTAATCTCATAGGGTTTTACTGTGATGGACTGTGTTTTTACCCTAATCTCAGGGCTTTATTGAACTGTACTGTGCATTTACCCTGATCTCAGGGCATGACTGCACTGTACTGTGTTTCTACCCTGATCTAATAGGGCTTTGATGTGCTGTACTGTGTTTTTACCTCGATCTCACTGGGCTGTACTGCACTATATTGTGCTTTTACCATGATCTCAATGGGCTTTACTGCACTGTACCATGTTCTTACTCTGAAGTCACAGGGTTTTACTGCACTGGACTGTGTTTTTACCCCAGTCTCACTGGGCTTTACTGCACTGTACTGTGTTTTTACCCTGATGTCACAAGGCTTACAGCGCTGTACTGCATTTTATACCCAGATCTCACCGGGCTGTACTGCACTGTATTGTGTTTTTACCCCCTTCTCACTGGACTG